AGCTTTTTAAAGATTTGCTGAGCCCTAGCCTGCTTTGTTTGGCTCACTGGTTAAAGTGTCGGCCCCGGGGACCTCAGGGTCCCCGATTCGATTCCCATCAAAGGCCGGGAAATGAGTGTGAGGCAACCAATTGATGTGTCTCTTTCATATCTATGTTTCTCCATCTCTTCCCCTCCTCCATTCTCTCTTAAAAAAAAAAAATCAATGGAAAACATATCCTTGGGTGAGGATTAACAAAAAAAAAGATTTGCTGTGAATTTAGCTTTCCGATTTCATGCCTATATGTGTGGAATTTTCCCAACAAGAATACAGTGCTTCAGAGTGACACCAAATGACATCTGCCTTCAAGATGCTTTTCCCTCATTTGGGAAGTTAAGTGGTTAAATTTGCCTAGTAATGCTGAAGGGGGAGTCTCCTGTGGAGAATGCTTTCAGGAATTTACTTTCAGCCCATGTGTGACATTTCTTCTTGGGTTTTGGAGTTTAGAAACCTGAGGAAGCTCAGTCCTGGCAGCAACACCCCTGAATTCCTGTGGTGAGAGGATGTGGCCCCTGGACCCATCCCGGAAAGAGGTGCTGAGGTTTGCGGTCAGCTGCCGGGTCCTGACTCTGGTGCTACAGGTCAGTCTCTGATCTTTTGTGCTGAACATGCCGTTGCCACATGACTGGGCTAGACACTAAGAATAGTCCTCATCTTCTTTCCACCTCTGAGGTGGGCCCCCCCAGGTGGCTGGAACCATAGACACTTAGGCTTCATAGCTGGAAAATGGGCAAGACTCTTAGGAATGGTCTTTAATCCCTTGTTTTACACATGAACAGCAGAGGCCCAGAAGGTTTAAAGAGCTTCCCTAAAGTCACTACGCCGCTGTAAAAAAAGAAGGAATTCTTTTTTTTTTAAATAGTCGTGATTGATTGATTGATTGATTTTATTGGTTTTTTACAGAGGAAGGGAGAGGGATAGAGAGTTAGAAACATCGATGAGAGAGAAACCGATCAGCTGCCTCCTGCACACTCCCCACTGGGGATGTGCCCGCAACCAAGGTACATGCCCTTGACCGGAATCAAACCCGGTACCCTTGAGTCCGCAGGCCGACGCTCTATCCACTGAGCCAAACCAGTTAGGGCAAGAAGGAATTCTTACCATTTGCAACAGCATGGATGGAACTGGAGAGCATTATGCTAAGTGAAATAAGCTAGTCAGTGAAAGAAAAATAGTACATGATTTCACTCATTTGTGGGATATAAAGAACATTATAAACTGATGAAAAAAATAGATACAGAGGCAAAGAAGCATTGAACAGACTGTCAAACTACAGCGGGAAGGCTGGGGAGGATTGGGGGGTGGGGGTAAACAGTGATGGCAAACCTTTTGAGCTCGGCGTGTCAGCATTTTGAAAAACCCTAACTTAACTCTGGTGCCGTGTCACAAATAGAAATTTTTTGATATTTGCAACCATAGTAAAACAAAGACTTATATTTTTGATATTTATTTTATATATTTAAATGCCATTTAACAAAGAAAAATCAACCAAAAAATGAGTTCACGTGTCACCTCTGACACATGTGTCATAGGTTTGCCATCACTGAGGTAAGAGATCAACTGAAGGACTTGTATGCATGCATATAAGCATAACCAATGGACGCAAGACACTGGGGGGAGGGGGGCGGGAAGGGCATGTGCTGGGGGGTAAGAGAGGCTGGGGAAAGGTCAATGGGGAAAAAAGGAGACATATGTGCTACTATTTGTAATAGTTTAAACAATAAGATTTTTAAAAAGAAAAGAGAAGGGCCAGAATCAGAACCCAGGTTTCCTAACTCCTGAGCTAGCGGTCTTTCCAACAGGCCATGATGTTCTGTAACCAGAGATGACATCAGGGTGTGACAACTCAAAGCATTAGCCTGGATCCCCTACGCAGGAGACTGAGCACTATGTCAATCAGTTGAATGGGAAAGAGGTGGCAATGTCCTGAGACCATCTGTGTCTATTTGTTTAGTCAGTAGTGCAGTGGTTCTCAACCTTGGCTGCACATTAGAATCACCTGGGAATCTTTTTAAAATCCTGATTTCTGGACCTCATCCTTCCGGGAATTCTGTTTCTTTGTTACTAATGTTGTGGCCCCACCCCATAACAAAGAAACAGAATTTCCGGAGGACGAGGCCCAGAAATCAGGATTTTAAAAAGATTCCCAGGTGATTCTAATGTGCAGCCAAGGTTAAGAACTGCTGCAGTGTCTCCTGCTCTTCTCCCAGGTGTCTCCCCTTGCTGCCTCACCCACACATAGCCCTCAGAATGCATTCACTATTGCAAAACTCCCTTTCTCCTCCAAGACTGTCCTTATACATATTTTAATTAAACTTCATGTATGTATGAGTTAAATGCAGTGCCTAGCACAATGCCCAGTGTTTAGTAGGTTCTTAGTACATGTTGGTAAATGTAGTCAACATTCTAGGTATGTTGTTTTATTAGCATAATTATGTGTATCTTTTATCATAAGCTTCATTCTCTCCAAGGCTCATAGCTGGTTCCTTTGTGGAAATCCCCTTTTCTCTTTTCTCCCTGACTATAGGAGGCATAGCAGGCTCTGCTGGCTCCCAAGTTTAGTTAAAAGTGTCTTCAACATGGAGACTAAGGCTGTTTTCACTATTTGAAGTGGCCTGATTACCAAAGAAACTGACCAAAAAGAGAAAAAGCCTTAAAAATGGGGTTGTACTCTGGTGCCAGGCTGGAGAAACTGACTCAGTGATAGCTTGGAACCAGTATCAGCTGAGTGATTGGCAGAGCCAATGGAGCAATACTGTGAATCGGCATCTGGGATAGGAAACCAGTACAGCCGGGTTCTAATTCAGTTGATTTGGAAACAGGATGTTTTGTAGACTGTTCACTCAATCACCAAAAGTTTATTAAGTACCTACTCTGTTCCATGAACTGTGCTAGGTGGTAAGTATAAAAGTAATGATGTCTTGCCTAACTGGTTTGGCTCGGTGGATAGAGCGTCGGCCTGCGGACTCAAGGGTCCCAGGTTCGATTCTGGTCAAGGGCATGTACCTTGGTTGTGGGCACATCCCCATGGGGAGTGTGCAGGAGGCAGCTGATTGATGTTTCTAACTCTCTATCCCTCTCCCTTCCTCTCTGTAAAAAAATCAATAAAATATATATATTTTTAAAAAGTAATGGTGTCTTTTCCCTTAAGTAACTGACAATCTAATCTGGCAAAAAGATATCTAACAATATGCTATCTTGTTATTTCTCCCACTGCCAACCCTTCTAGTTTTAAAGGTAATGCCATCAGAATAAATTGCCAGTTACTCTTCATTGTTGCTGTCACTGTGGTGTGTTTTTCTTTAATATATTTTTATTGATTTCAGAGAGGAAGGGAGATGGAGAGATAGAAACATCAATAATGAGAGAGAATCATTGATCGGCTCCCTCCTGCACACCCCCCGCTGGGGATTGAGCCCACAACCCGGACATGTGCCATTGACAGAATCAAAACTGGGACCCTTCAGTTTGCATGCCGTGGCTCTATCCACTGAGCCAAACCAGCTATGGCTGTCATCTGTGTTAATGACAGCTCATTCCTCCTCATTCCTTGAAAGTTTTAGCTTCTGATTCAGTTACTCTTTCCAGCACAACTATTGATTTCTTGGTGGTTTGAATATTAATAAGGCTGATACACCTGACCATTATCTCCTATCATTTCAGCTCACTTTCTCTAGTATCCTAGCTCTAATGATTCTTTTAACCCCTCAGGATTTATAATCCATTGAGCCTACCACTTTTCGCTGACTCTCACCAACCTCAAGCCTTCAGCTCCACTTTTTACTTAGCTTGGATTCCATGCTCCATCATGCATACACACACAGCTCACTTACTCCCTTCTCCCTATGTCCAACCTCGGTTAAATTCAGTGCTCTGTCATTCCATGCTTGCATCTGCCCAGAGTAAAACACACAACTGTAGTAACTAGTTTCCTTTTATTTAATACCATTAATCCAATTGAGTCTTTAATGCTACCTGGCAGTGTTAGTGTATTTCTCTTGTCCATGCACCCCACCCCACCTCCATTTTCTGCACATTCGAATCACTGGGGAGAGTTTTAAAAAAACTCAATGCCCAGGCTGTAACCCATACCAGTTAAATCATTAACTCTGGAGAAGGAACCCAGGCATTGGTATTTCTAAAACTACCTGGGTGATTCCCTGTTTTGAGAACTGAGATTATAGATGACATATTTTACATGTGTTAGTCTTTAATCAAGTCTCTAATGTCTTTTCCCCAAATTGCTTTCCTGAGTAAAAAATAGAAGCAACCAGAAGAGACTTTCTTTTTTTTTTTAAATATCTTTTTATTGATTTCAGAGAGAAAGGGAGAGGAAGAGAAAGATAGAAACACCAATGATGAGAGAGAATCATGGATCGGCTGCCTCCTGCATGCCCCCTACTGGGGATCGAGCCCGAAACCCTGGCATGTGCCCTTGACTGGAATCGAACCCAGGACCCTTCAGTCCACAGGCTGATGTTCTATCCACTGAGCCAAACCAGCTAGGGCCAGAAGCGACTTTCTGCATGCTCACACCACATCCATCAGCATACCTACATCTTCACCTCTGTGCCTTCACTGTGGAAGGTTGGGTGAGCTGTCTGTCCTCCTCTCCAAGGCTGGCTCTCCACTTGTGCAGCAGATTCCATCCCCTGTCGCCTGCTCCAGCGGTTCTCCGTTCTCTTTCTTGTGTACTCGTTTCCTTTCCACGGATTTATTCCCACTGGGAAACACTTATCTCCCACCTTAAATATATATATTTTTTATTGATTTCAGAGAAGAAGGGAGAGGGAGAGAGAGATAGAAACATTAATGATGAGAGAGAATCATTGATCGGCTGCCTCCTGCATGCCCCCTGCTGGGAATTGAACCCACAACCTGGACATGTGACCTGACTGGGAATTGAACTGTGACCTCAACCACAGAGCCACACCAGCCGGGCTATCTCCCACCTTAAAAAAAAAAAAAAAAAAAGATTTATCTTTCCCCACATTGTCATTCTCCTATTACCCCATTTCTCTGCTCGCCTTTACAGCAAACCTCCTCCAAATAATTGTCTTATGCACTATCTCCCTTCTTCCCTTCGCTGTTGAACCCAGTCTAGGCAATCTTCTCTTTCCTCCACCCCACTGAAATAGCTCTTGTCAAAGTCACCAGTGACCTTCACATTGCTAAATCTAGTGATCAGTTTTCAGTCCCCATCTTACTTGACTTATTGGTAGCACTTAACAGAACTGATCACTCCCTTGCTTCACTTGGATCTAAGACACCATACTCTCCTATTTTTCCCCTACCTCACTGACTGTTTCTTCTTTTTTTGTGTGTGATTTTGAAAGCACATTTATTAAAGCTGGGGACAGTTAAACAAGGAAGGGCTTAGAATAGAAGAAGCAACTTTTCTGCCTTGACCAGTTTGGCTCAGTGGATAGAGCATCGGCCTGCGGACTCAAGGGTCCCAGGTTCGATTCCAGTCAAAGGCATGTACCTTGGTTGCGGGCACATCCCCAGTGGGAGGTGTGCAGGAGGCAGCTGATTGATGTTTCTCTCTCATCGATGTTTCTAACTCTGTATCCCTCTCCCTTTCTCTCTGTAAAAAATCAATAAAATATATTAAAAAAAAAGAAGAAGAAGAAGAAGAGGCAACTTTTCTATCCTAGGCAGGACTGCTTAGCTCTCTAGACATGTTTTAGAAAAGAAATGAGTCTAGCGGAACTGCTTTGGCTCACTGAGAAATCAGAGAAAAGGGGACACTGGAAACAATGAGGGTTAGCCCAGGACGAGCTGCCCGCTGCCCATTGCTCCCCTGGTTGCAAGTCTTCTGGGATCCCTTAGAGTTTAGGAGATCCATGCCTGAAAGGGAAGAAGAAGGGAAAGGAAAAGCTGCAGGGGTGCTCTCGGGAGGAGGAGTGTGCCTGACTGTTCTTTATCTTCACTGCTGGATCCTCACCCCCTTTCAAGTCACTAAATGTTGATGGGAACAGGACCCAGTCTGCGGAGCTCTATCTGTATGTCCTAGTGCTCGCATTCAGTCCCATACCTTTAAATACTGCCCATTACTTATGACTCCCAAATTTATATCTCTAGCCCTGATCATTCTTCTGACCTTCAGACTCATATATCTCACTGCCTCATTGACCTCTGCACTGGAATGTCCAACTCAAATTTAACCAGTCCAAAACTGACTGATTCTCCCCAAACAAATCTGTTCTTAATTTTATTAAATAGTAATTCTTTTCTTCTAGTTGTTCAACCAAACTCCTGGTTCTTCATCCCCACAGGCTCTCTTCAATGCCTTCATCCCAGATCACCATGCTGAAGCCTTCTCTCCTCCTCGCCTTGCGCCCTCGGGCTCTGTGGACCAGCTCGTGGATGGTCTTCTGGGTGGCCTGTCTCACTGGGATGCTGAACACTTTCTGTTCATTGCTGAGCATGGCTACCTGTATGAGCACAACTTTGCCTTCTTCCCTGGTTTCCCCCTGGCCCTGTTGGTGGGGACTGAATTGCTGAGACCTCTGCGGGGGTTACTGAGCCTACGGAGTTGCCTATTAATCTCAGTAGCATTGCTCAATTCCTTGTTCTCTATTCTGGCTGCACTTGCACTTCACGACCTGGGCTGTCTGGTTTTGCACTGTCCCCGCCAGGCCTTTTACGGAGCACTGCTTTTCTGCCTCAGCCCTGCCAATGTCTTCCTGGCTGCTGGTTACTCAGAAGCTTTGTTTGCCCTCCTGACATTCACCGCCATGGGGCAGCTGGAAAGGGGCCGAAGCTGGACTAGTGGACTCCTCTTTGCCCTTGCTACTGGTGTTCGCTCCAACGGGCTGGTCAGCATTGGCTTCCTTGTACATTCTCAGTGCCACGGCTTTTTCTCTTCTCTCCTGGTGCTGAATCCTCTGAGACAGCTCTTGAAGCTGATGGGCTCTGTGTTCCTGTCTGTGCTCACACTTGGTCTTCCCTTTGCCCTCTTTCAGTATTATGCCTACACCCAGTTCTGTCTGCCAGGCTCAGCCCGCTCCATCCCCAAGCCCTTGCTGCAGTTAGCTGTGGACAAGGGCTACCGGATTGCAGAGGGAAATGAACCACCTTGGTGCTCCTGGGAACTTCCGCTGATATACAGCTATATCCAGGATGTCTACTGGAATGTTGGCTTTTTGAGATACTATGAGCTTAAGCAGGTGCCCAATTTTCTGCTGGCTGCACCAGTGGCTGTACTGGTTATCTGGGGAACGTGGACATACGTGACCACCCACCCGTGGCTCTGCCTTACACTTGGGATGCGAAGGAACAAGAGCGATGAGACTCTAGAGAAACCTGATCCTGGATTCCTCAGTCCTCGGGTGTTTGTGTACCTGGTTCACGCTGCAGCGCTGCTGCTATTTGGCAGTTTGTGCATGCACGTTCAGGTAAGGTGGATTCCTGGCTGGGAAAAGGATGTTAATACAGACAGAATCCCTGGGCCAGGAATGGGGAAGACGACTAACTTCTCCCATTTGAGTGAACTGTGCCTAGTTTGTTTATTCAACAACTATGTGAGGGCTTTATTTGTGCTAGACCCTGGGTCAGACCACAGAAGATGGAACATGAGTAAGATAAGATTGCTGCCCTAATGCATCTCATGGTAGAAATGGGAGACAGACATTGAACAGGTAAAATTATAGGACAGTGGGATGGGAGAGAATTTGCTGTTTTGAGATAAAGTATTGTGGGAAGCACAGAGGAACAAAATAGCTGACTGAAGAAGGGTGTCATATTTAGGCCAGGTCATAAAGAATATGAAGAAATTCCATTTAAGAAGCAAAGGAAGGGTGTATGCAAATATATGAGAATTGTAAGAGGACCTGATTTGACTGAGATAGAGGAATGGGCACAGAGAATACTCTGGGACCTTCCCCTAATACACAGTTATACCCAGAATGTCAACTTGTTAGTTGGCTCTCTGAGGTACTCGGCGGGTGCTCAGTTTTCAGAGGAGACATCTTGTGCAATGTTCGGGGTGGTGGTGTAATATAAAGGAATGGGAAAGGTTTGATCATTAATTCCATCTTTTGTTGTTGTTAATCCTCACTCAAGGATATTTTTCCATTCATTTTTAGAGAGAGTGGAAGGGAGAGGTAGAGACAGAGAGAAACATCGGCGTGAGAGAGACACATTGCTTGGTTGCCTCCAGGGCCGGGGAACCTGCAACCAAGGTATGTACCCTTGACTGGACTCGAACCCAGGACGCTTCAGTCTGTGCGCTGACACTCCATCTACTGAGCCAAAATGGCTAAGGCAATTTCATCTTTTTTGTTTCTGGCTGTGGCTCCAGTTTCATCTTAACTCTGAGGAAGTCTTTTTGTCTCCATACTGTCTCTCTCCTTGGCAGTTTCAGGCACACATGGGCTGTTTGTAAAGTTCTCTGAGCTGTGTGAATAAGAGGTACAGGGGAAACAGAAAATAGCATTCTGTGTTTGTAGCTGGATTCGCTAGTAGAGGGAATGCCAGCAAAGGTTAGCATTTCCAGGTAGGTGAGAGAGGCCATTTGGCTCTGAACTCCCCTAGAGCGAGAATGTTAAGCCATAGTATCCTCTGCTCCCTTTCCCTCTGCTTTGTATCCCCCTGGGATGAGGGAACCACCTTACATTCCCAAAGCCCCACATCACAACCTAGAGTTTAGAGTCCAAGCCCTCGGGTATAATTGGACCCCGCAAAGGGTTTTTTTTATTGATTAACTCATTATTGTGGTATTTAGTCTAGCTGTTTTTATTTGTAACATTGAGGTCACTGGCTGATACCATGCACAGCTTTATAAGGCATATCCTAAGCTATACTAAATTTTATGTCCAGCGTAATACATTTCCAGTCATGGGATTATAGTTCACCCAGCAGCAGGCAAGCCCCAGTCTGGTCCAGTTTGAGGCAGTGACATTCCAATAAATGTGTGGGTTTCCTCCTATTATGATTTACAGGTTCTCACCAGGTTTTTGGGTTCCTCCACTCCTATTGTGTACTGGTTTCCAGCTTACTTGCTTCAGCATCAAGAGCCACTTCTGAGATCTCTAGAGACTGTGCCTTGGAAGCCTCTTGCAGAAGACTCCCCACCAGGACAAAAGGTCCCCAGAAACTCTATCATGGGACTTTTGTACAACTGGAAAACCTGTTCTCGAGTCACACGATGCATTCTAGGCTACTTCCTGACTTACTGGCTCCTGGGACTACTCCTGCATTGCAACTTCCTGCCTTGGACATGACCTGGAGTCTCAGGGGACAGACTTGAAGCCAACTTAACCAGGAATTGAAAGTACAAATATATAAAAACACTGCCTGCACTGCCTTGGGATCCTTGCTCTGTCCATTAGAACCTCTCTCTCTATTTGAAGGTTGGTTAGCAGTGGGAACGGTATGAGCCACTGGAGATCCCCTATGGTCCTGGCTATGGAAAATTTTAGAATAGTATCTATTTTTACAGAAAGTGAAAAAATCATATTCCAGTTCTAAAGTATACCTGGATCTGTCTCTTCAACCAAGCACAGCAGAGATCATATTAAACTTACCACTGACCCACATG